GCTCCAGCCATCATCCGCACCGGTGATGCCCGTCAGCTCCTCGCGCCAGCGACTTTTCACTGCAGAGAAAGTATGAGTGAAGGGTGTCTGGACGAACCAAATGTTTGGTAAATCGTACCGTCTGACGTGAAGACACCTATGTTGAATCCCCTGATCCCTGCTGGAGCGTCATCCTTATTCAGGCAGTATTGCTCTCCAACAGGATTCAATAGGATGCTCAAAAATGATCATCGGTATTCGAGTGGGTAGTGCTGCTGATATCTGCTAGCATTCAACCTATCGACCTGATGGTTGTCAACTACAAGAAGGAACCCTATGTCCACCCTTCATGTTCTGGTGGCAAGGCTACTATTGACAGCAGCCCATATGTTTGTTGTAAAGTTATAGGACCCTTATGATAAGAGCAGGCTCTGATACTCCCGAAGGCTTCAGTCCTGTTTGCCCAAGCTGAGCCAGGTATATAGGAGTTCTTAGTTGCGAGGGATCCTGGAATAGATCTAATAATTTAGATCGGAGCGCACATCTAGTCAAATGATTGTGAAAAGCTTCTGTTCCTGCCATCTTCCAAAAAATTGTGACTCTTCCTACCTCGTCTTTTGTACCCTAAGTCCTTGAGCCCTTAAACCCCAAAACCAGAAAACCCTAAAATCCAAGTCCTTACTTCCACACGTCATGCGCATCTCCCAAATCAAGGCTGCTCCTCGGCCGTACTTCAAAAGCGCAAGATCCCCATGCTAGGGATGCCCAAGCACGGACCCATATGAGCTGTAGTCTAAACTCCTAGTATCCCCCTTAATAACCCCTAAAAGACTCCCCTATATAATCCCCTATAACCCCTTTCAGGAGTTTAGACTATTTGCTCAAATCTTTCACCTATCCCCCCTGTCCTTCCAGTCGATAGCCGCGCATCGCACAGCCCCTTCATGTAAACCTGTTGTTCGAAGCTCCGGAGAGTTGACCATCGGATTTCGTTTTGCACTGTAAGGCTTAATGGCGCATAAGATTCATGTGTTACAATATTTCAGAATTTCGTGTTCTCGTAGACCCGTCACTCTGAAAGGAGCTCGCTTCTGACTCCCCGGTTTTGAGGAGAGGAGCACTTCAGCAGGTCTAGGCTCAACCCCATGATCATGTCAAACTGAATAATATGGTAGTTTCCATGAAGTTGGGGACCCCAACATAAACCCCAAACCCTTATTCTAGGTACCCACAAGAGATCCCCAAATTTTTGGAACCCCCTATATTGGATTCGCATGCTCGTAATAAGCCGCAGGTAAGGTTGGGATCGCAACCCTCACCCTCCCCTACCCTGTCCTTTCCTCTTGGTGGCTCCGAGCAGTCCAGGTATCATGAAGACAGACTAGTATTCATATTAAAGGTAGCAGTGAAAGTAATAGCAGAAGTAATAGCAAAAGTACTGGTAAAGGTAATAGCAAAAAGTAATGGTAATAGTAAGACTAACAGTACCGTAGTAATAATTAGTAGCTTCTCCACTACCCAATTAACCATCCTACCTTGTCTTGCTCCGCCCTGCCCTACCCCTACCCTATTTGGTAGTTTCCTGAGATAAGGGACACCCAATATTATAGAGGCCAAAAATACTACAGTCCTTATCATTGGACCCTCAAATGGCACCCCTAATTTTGGGAAACTACCTTTTCAGCCTAAATGTACTGTAGTCTAAACTCCTTACAGGGAGTTATATGGGGGATTATATAGAGGAGTATTAATTCCAGGGGCTACTAAGAGGGATACGAGGCACTTGGAATATAGCTTCAATACTGCCCGTACTGCCCCCCTCACTAACAGTTGGATAATAAATCTATTATGGCTATATAGCCCTTACTAGGACCCCTAATATAGACTGTTACTTGGGGGGGGGGGCAGTACCCAAAATATAGCTTACATGCTATTTCCGCAGGTAGCATCATTCTCGGGCAAGCATGGTCAGGATGGAGCTCAGAACCCTATGGGTATATAATATAGGGTTTAGGGCTTAGGGTGTAGAGTTAATACTGTTGACACTAAAAACCTTGCATGACCATAGTATACTATAATCCCATTATTCTCGAGTAGGTATAAACTACTTAGGGTCATACACTATTTTTAGTATCCAGCGTAGGGCTTGAGGAATATATTCTATAGGGTTTTTTTTAGGGAATGTTTTCCCGTAGTCCGTACTTGCTACCAGTAAGCTAAGATCTGCAAAGCCCATGCCATGTGCAAAGGGATTTGAAGGCTCATGGGTAGTTCAGAATTCATGGACCCTCAACCCAGAACCCCAAAACCCTAAATCCTAAAACCCTAAACCCTGAAACCCTGTTCCTGTTTGCATATCTGAGATCAGGCTGTAACTTACCTGGCCTTCAGTTAGCTGGGAATGAAAGAATGGGAAAGAAAATGGAAATTACTATAATGGGTTATCTAGGGACTACTACAAGGATCCATTCCTTCATTCCTAGCTAACCAAAGGTAAGTTACTTCCCTTCCCATGAGCCTCTAGGCAGCCTTTTTGCACAAGTCCGGGTAAGCACTGTTGCGGGAAGAGAACGTTTGAGCCTCACACCCTTAAAGATCGGGGAATCTTTGCGACTCAATTTCGCAGCATCCCATGATCCACAGATGCGTCTGGTCCTGGTAAGTTTCATCCTTCTATTCTGGGTGACCTGGCTATGACTAGGCATTGTTGACGGCCCACTCAATTTCCCGATGCTCCTCAGAGGACATCTCCGAGAGGTTAGGAGAAAATGGAATGCCAAGCATCTCTCCCAGACGCTGTTGATAGAGACTGGTGTATGGGTCAGAGTTGCCTTGAATCTGAGCCTGCAGTTGAGCGGCCCGCTTGAGCCAAGGCAATGCAGCTTCCCTTCCTTCAAGCTGTTGCATAATGAGAAACATGTCCCAGTAAGAAACAGCGCTCCAGACGAAGCTGGTTTCCAAGTTTTGCTCGCGAAAGGTCCTGATTGCACATAGAAGGTGCTTCTGGGCTTGTTGTAAGGCTTCCCTGGCATAGGCGCTGAGCGAGCACATTGCGCGCTCCTTCTCGACAAGTCCCATGATGCGGAAAGCATTGCCCAACTGAGGGCTCTTTGTGCTCTCTAGCATGGAAGCAGCCATGCATGCATCATAGAAGGCCAAATCCAACAGGAGCTGACACTTGCTTGGACGATGTCGCGCGATCTTGGCACCAGTATTTGCCTTCATCAGCAGCGCTTGGGCAAGCAGGCCCTCGTCCACTTCTTCCACTGCCAGACTCTCACAATTCTTCACGCAAGCTTCCGCTGCTCTCTGCGCCTCGCACATGTTCCGCAGCCAGCCCGCTTCATATCCTGACAAGTATGCCCAGCGATGACTCTCCCGTGCTCTTTCCAAGTTCAAGCCTGCACTATGCATGGGACTGTGTGCAACTTCCTCATTGCTGCGGAGGTCTGTGTCTGTGGCGAGTTCAACATCGCGTTGACACTTTACACACTTTAAGTGCTTGCCTGCGCATTCTCGACACATAAACAGACAGCGGCAAAGCAGCCTCTGTCTCGTAGCTGCGTCGCAGTGAAAGCATCTCTCACACTGATTCGAGCTGGTGATGGTGGCAGTTGCCATTGCAGAATTTGCCAGAATTGTGACGGAGCGCTCTTGGGAGTCTGTCCGTGTGTTCAAGCTCCATTGAGTTCACATCTAGATGACAGTGATGTCAAAATTCTTGGACTTGCATGTATTCCTGCACTGCTGCTTCAAGGATCCAGAATTACACGTACTCCAGCCAAAAGATTCGTCGCACGGGTGCTACCTGTCATCGTGAAGTATGGCCAACCTCAAGGCTTAGGACATAGAGTGTTAAAACAACCAGGACAGGACGATTCTGTAGTCCTTCTGTAAGCGGACTCACTGTTCTTTGGGGCCAAAGAGGAGCAAACTTAATTTTGGTATATGAGCCATGGCATGTTTAAACTCCTAATATTCCCTTAATATCCCGTATAGTAGTCCCCTATACAACCCCCTATATAACCCCAATTCAGAAGTTTAGACTACAGCTCATATGGTAGTACATGACTTGAAAGTCAGCGTGCAAGCCTCCCATAGGGCCGACAAGAAGGGACCCCTAGGTCCGGAAGGTGGTGGGTCCAGGAAGGTTATGGTCCCCCTTAAGTAGATTTTTTTCTTAAAAAAAAACTACCAAGGTTAAATTAGGGTTATAGTAGGAATATATTTGGGTTATATAGGGATAATGGAAAAGAAAATGGAAACTACTATTTAGGGCTTAGGGTCCCCCTTAAGTAGATAGAACATGGAATATATGGGGATCTTATTAGAATATACCCAAAGCCATGTTCT